CTCCCCAAGAAACGGCACTGTTGCGTGAAGTTAATGAAAAACATTCCAGAGAAATTAATGACATCAGATCCCAATTTCATATGGCGAGCGCTGCATGTGAGTTCCCTCTATTTATGCAAGAGGGCCCTGCATTGGAAACACACTGAACAGAAATACAGGACTAAGAGAATCGAGCATTCCTTTACCCGAGCGCACCAAGTCACTAAATAGAAGGGATTCACACTGTTTACCAGGCCAGGTTAAAATGAAAACAGTATCATGAAATCTGGATTCCAGTACAGAAATTGGTTTCTATCAACCAAGGAAAAAAATCACAGAGATAAAGTTCCCCTGTGGGAGTGTCACGGCTCTTCTGCCCTCGCTGCTTCTCAGACTGGATGGTGCAGCTGAACCTCCCCAGCTGCCCTCAACAACAGCACCTAACAGGAGAACCGGAATAACAGCTCCATCGCAGGAAGCACAGGTATGGAAACTCTACCTACAAATACCAAACCTAACATTACCCAAGGATTAAAAAACATAAAAAGAAGAAATCAACAAGTGACCTCTCAACAAAGAGAGCAACATTTAAAAAAGAAGAAAAACCTACCAAAAATACACAGGTATTGGTATTGCCTCACGTACCCAGGATAAATGTCTTGGGAAACAGTATTGTTAAGAGTACCCAGGATAAATGACATATTTACTGTGCGTACTGACTTTGTCCCACACTAAACGTAAATGTTGTGAGGCAGGAATTTGTCAGGTTTCTTCTTGACAAGCCTGGAAGACAGCAGCTCAACTGCTAAAGGGATGCTTCAGTGTTGATGTCTGTTTAGAAAGACATACCAGACTGGACCGGACATGCGATTCTAACATGGCACTGGATATGGTACCTTACATTATTCTTACAGATGAAATTTCCACATGAAGCATTGTCCTATTAGTGTTTTAATAAATTGTTGAAAAAAGGGCAAAGGAAAATAATTTGGAAAAATTACTCAAATTCATGGCTTCAAAACAGAGAAATAGGTAATACATTAGATGACAGAAGTAAGATTGAGACTCACCTCAAAAGGTTGGAATGGGTCAAAACAAGATAAAATGAAGTTCAATAAATGTGTAGTCAAAAAGTTAAAGTTATGGAACAAAATCTGTTGATGAAGACGTTTTCTTGGTCTTCCTTCCCCTTCACTGACCTTTCCTTCTTAAGCTCCTCTGCTGGTTTTTCCACATTGTCTTCACCACTAAACAACTGTAGTGTCCAGAGTTTATTCTCAGATCTTTTTCCCCCACAGACAAATTCCCTAAGTCATGTCATTTAGTTTCATGATGTTAAATACGATCTACATACTGCAGACCCCCAACATGTCTAGCTACGAACTTTCCTCCTGGCCCGACAGTATATACACTTGCTTTCAGGTATCTCCAACTTGATGTCTAATAACTCAAATTTAACATGTTCAAAAATAACTTACTGCTTTTTCTCAACCTCATTCAACCCATTCCTCCTGTTGTCTTCCCCATGCCAGCAAAGAGAAATTTTATTCTACCAGGTGCTCAGACCAAAAAAGGCTGGGAGTCGTGACTGATTTCTCTCTTCTCAACACCACATGCAACCCCTGGGCACAGTCCATGAGTTCTGCCTCCCTAACACGGCCAGCCTCTGATCACACCTCCCCCTCCCCCTGCCTACACCCCTAGGCTCTACCTGGGGCCCCCATCTGCACCTTTCCTCCCTGTGTGCACTCTCAGTTCGGCAGCTAGAGCAATCTGTCTGACATTTAAGCTAAAGCATGACACTTTTCCACTCAGTGTTCTCCAGCTGTTCCCAGAACAGCTTCCAGTTGCTCTTGGGATCCAGTGCAAAGCCTGTGCAGTGGACCAGGAGGCCTTAAACACCCCCAAAGTCCTTAAAAAAAAACTCACCTCCACATCCCACCACCCCAGTGCACACTCTGCTCCTGCCATGGGTCTCCCTTGGGGCCTTGGCAGCTGCTGTCTCTTCCTTCTGGATGATTCTCTTACTCCCTTCAAGTCCTGCTCAAATGTCAGCTTATTGAGTAAAAAGCCACTTCCAACATACCATCACTCTCTACCACCTTATTTCACTTTATTCTTCCATGTATTTATGAGAATACTTATCAACACCTTATATGCATAGATTTAGATTAAAATGTCAACTGTCACCACCACCCTCTTCCACACTATGAGAACCAAAACACTATCTTGCCACCTGTGAGTCCGTCCCCAGCACCCAGAACAATGCCTAGCACATAAACGCTCAGCAAGTATTTGTCAATTGAATGGCAGATGAGGAGAAAGACAGAGGGGGAGGGAGGGATGAGAGAAGAAAGGAAGGAAGACAGAGGGGAGGAGGAGGATGAAAACTTACAGGTACGAGTTCACTTCGTGTAAAAAAACCCAAATCTTACTTTACTCAGAATGAATAAGCAGAAATGTCCTAGTTCTTTAAAAAGCTGTTCTCCCGTAAAATAGAAACACAACTTCAAGGGGTGTGTGCCGCACCTCACCTTACCAAGGTCAAACCACCACTGCTCTGTAATGTCACAGCACAGCCACCACCTTCTAACAATATGCTAATAACCTATACTTTACAGAGAATGTGACCCCAATCCTGAGGAGGCAGATGGGGGACAAAAGTGTTTTTAGAAGAATGTTTCACTGGGAAACACAGACCACAACCCCTCTGCTCAAAGAGCCTGAATATGGAGGAGGGCGGACGGCTACAAAAGTCAAAGCCATACCCACAGATGACAGTGAAGGAGAGGTGGTTTGGGTCTAGGTGAGCGAGTGGCTTATGAACGTGCAAACTGCCCGCGGCCTCAGCGAAGAGCAGGCTTTATGACAATGGGTGTTCCTGAACAGAAGCCTTGTGGTCAGTCACCACCCACCGAAAGCTCACACTAGGTTATTTGTAAATCTTAACTTTAATCTAAAAAAGGGTATACTGTTATATAAAGCAAATTCTGAGTATCAGTCAAATAAGTATTGATCAAGACACAGAATGGATACATTTGGAAGAAAAACTTTAGAAGATCTTAGCAGCTGACACTCTTCTAGGTTATCAGCTCATATATTAGTATTTCTCAACTAGAGATTCACCTTCACCAAATCCAAAATGAGAGAACCTTATAAAATAACAGCAAAGAAGAATCACTATGTACAGTTTTCGCCTCACTTCTGATGGCCTTAAAGACAGCATGTGGTATTGTCTGAACACACGGTGTCTCTTCTCTCCTCACTGGGAGCAATGGACCTGGCCTGGCGCTGGCGTAGTAAGAAGTAGGTGGTGACATCATTATCTGACTCCAAGATGCCTGGTGGCAACGCTGTGTACAGCTACAATATCCAGAAATGGAGCCAATAAAAAAGTCTACTCTCTGTCTAAGCAGTTCTTTCCCCCAAATGTAACCCAGTTTATATTTGAAGGAGTGGGATGCCATAGCAAAATCAATTGTAACACTTGGGTAAAAATAAATAATCGTCACATTTGGGGACACTGGTGTTCCAGCAAACAGGCAAACAGGATCAGTGCAGTGACATCTCAGGAGTACAATTCTAATCTTTGTTGTCAACAGAACAGCATGCTAGGAAAACACACAGACCGGTCAAAACAACCTCTTTGGGATATCCTTCTACCCACCTCCCTCAAAAATAACAAAAAACTCTAAAACTTCTTCAGGATTGTAAAGGTTAAACTGAGGGTAGGCATTCTCTATAAAATGAAATTAGTCTGGGTCAAAAAAAAAAAGAGAGAGACTCAATTGAATCATAGTTTTCTTCTTGCCTCCAATTTATGAAATGCAGGGTCTACGTGAGATCGGGGACAGCAGCTTCGCTGGTGAGCCTCGGGGCGTAGCTCCTCTGCCCAGGTTCACTCGCCAGAATCCCCTTTGGGGCCGCACATAGCACTTCGTGGTTTCATTCTACTGTCCCAGCAGCTGCAAAAATTCCAGGCTGGTGTTCGCTGAAGCACCCAGACCTGGACTTCCTTACTGTAAGCTCTGTCAGTAAGCAGTGAGGCCCCTAGGAAAACCCTGAGCTCCACAGAGATCTTGAGAGTCCGTTATACTCCCATGGACACAGAGAATTCTGCCCAGTCTCCAGCAATGGCCCTGGTCATTTTAGAGACGCCTTTCCTCAGGTGATGAAAAATAAAGGAATATATCGGTATATGTGATCCTATTAACAATACTTCAGCTTAAATCTTCTGATAGAGTGATCTCTCACGTAAAGTTGCATCGGATGCAATTCAAACTGATTATTTTCATTATTTAATCCACATTTAAGACCTTTATTTGCACAAAAGATAAATAATTAAGGTGTCTTTCACATGTAATCAATCAGAGTTGCGTGGTATTAAACAGAGTATGCTGGGTGCTCTCAGCACTCATCTCCCATTCGCTTCCAAGTTCGCTAAGTCTCTTAAAGTTAACACGAAGTACTTCTCTGGGACATGGAAACAGTACGTCTAATATTTCTTAAAGTACTGAGGAGTGTCACGCCTTTGACACATAAGTAGTCACCTTTTTTTTTCCCAAAAAGAAGGTGCGTGACCTCCAAGGCAGGGTGGGCCAGGTAACACGCTGGGCGAACCTGACAGCCAGGGCCTGGCGAAGCTCCAGCTCCCTGGTGGAGTGGGCTCTGTGGAAAAGCTGTGTGGGTGCTGCCTACCCTTACGTTTTCAATAAAAGCCAGACATCCAACCTTCACATCCAGTTTCTCTACTTCTAATGTTGGCAACCAATTCCCAAAACCCCCCAGGCACGCACAGGCCGAACACTGTGCATCTGTCCGCCGTACTCAGGTCTGAGGACCCCACTCGCCACCTCTCCCTCCTGCCTCCATGCCGTACGCGTGAGCGATGCTTAGGAGGGCACTCAGCTCCAGTCATTATTATTCTAATGCGTGAATATGTTAGAGTGCCGAGAAAGCATACATACAAACAGCTTGATATTCTATCCCATGGTAGTAGAAGTTTTGTTCACATCACTTACCCTGCTGACTTCCTTGGGAGCCGATTCATCTGGCGATGGAAACAGAAGGGGAAACACAATTAGAAACTCTGAGAACATGTCATTCACTCTCAATAAACTAGAGAGCTCGTCTGCAAAGCTTCCTCTAAGAAAAGCAAAGAATTTGGTTTTAAAAATCTGGTTTTAAAGTAGAAGTTAAACATAATAAATTTATAGTAAGGCATACATATTAATTTTGAAGGGGAGATGAAATACCATAATGAGTTACTAGTCATTTTCAAGATTACCTTTTCAGGGGCCCTGAAATGGAGTGTCTGCAACCGCAGGACCGTGCTTATTCATGCACACACACCTAGAAGGGGGCTAGGGACACGGGCAGTGTTCAAATGCCCCAACCCACACAAATCTGATAAATGGCCACCATCACCTGTGCATCTCCTGCCTGTGGAGATAGGACACGTGCCTGTATGGCAGGCTGCTCAAGGCTCGAAACACACATACCAATAGCGCTGCTGTGTTCCACGGGTCCCAGAGTTGGGGGCCGTGTGTACAGCTCCTCAGAATTGGTTACTGGTAACAGGAGACCAAAGGATGGCCCTGGCCTAGGCCAGACCCGCAGAAGGCTCTCCCTGTGGGGCTGGCTACACAGCAAGAATGTGCCTGTGTGACCCATGGGGTAAAGGAACCAAATGGCCAAGATTCCACTTCACGTCCACTGGCTCTGGGATCCCAAGCCGAGGTCACTGCTCTGACCCAGCGGCAGGGCATCTGTGTGGCCCTTACAGAGGAAGGGGGCCTGGAGCCGGGCCTCCCCGGGCCCCTCACTGAGGCAGCCTTTAATGTAGCGCTGCTGCTGCTTTGTGTCTTCTCTAGCGATCAACCTCTGTCCCACTGCCACCATGGGCGCACGCTCCACATACCCAGCTCCCAGGAGTTGTGTGTGTCACTCCAACATGTATGTGAAATAGTTACTGTCCTCCAAGTTGTGATCCTCCCTCCTAAGTATACTTGCTAACTGACCCACTGAGTCCTGCTGTTTCCTCTTTTTCTAACTGTTCTCTGATGTACTGCTTACCACCCATTTGCACACCTAACACCAAGTCCAGTCCCAAATCACATACTAACCAGTATAGCCTGCCAGCTGGTCCCTGAATGCAGTAGCTGCCCCGGTAATCACTCACTCACTCACTCACTCACTCACTCACTCACTCACTCACTCACACACACACACACACACACACACACACACACACACACGTCTTTCATGCTTCAACACCTGGCTGTGAAGTGGCTTTTCCTGGGCACATTTTAAAAATTGCCAAGCTTGGGTGGGTTAATACACAGTTGGAAAGCAAACCCCGTATCCGAGGCACCCTGAACCGGGGTGTCCTGGTGTCCCCTGGAGAGGGGAAAAAACACACATCACTGCCTCACTTAAAACTAGAAAACAGCCACTTCTATAGGACAAACAGAAATAAGCAAAAGCAATTAGCAAAAAGTCACATAAAAAAGAAGAACAAAGGAGACTATGTTAAGATCATATGAACTAAGGATAATGAACTTCTCAGTAACCAACGGAAAGCAGGAAATTGCAGGTGATGTGATTTTTATTGCTTAACATATATTAACTAGTGTATTACAGAAGATTTATGTCTCCTTGTTCATGAGCTTTACAGCAATGTGACACGGTAGCTTTATATCAGGACATTGTGCTTGCCATCTGCTTTACACACATCAAAGTGGTTCAAAACTGGCCTTTTTAAATATTGCTACTCAGCAAAGCTGAAATCCAGCATTTAAAACACTGCATTGAAAGTCTATAAGCATTTGGTGTTATATATACACACATAAAAAAAAAAGTAAAAAGGTTACATTAACTTAATAAAGAAGACATCCACTAAAGAGAGGGAAGGTGGTAACGTAATGCCTCTGAGTTAAGATTGAAAACTATACTCTGCCTTCCAGATTCTAAATTGTGACTTTCATGTGACCTAACTTTAAAACTACAGTAGGAACTGTGTTGAAAACTTCCAGCTTTATTACTCTATGGTCAGAGAGTATGTTTTTAACAATTCTTATTTTTTAAATTGATTGATCATTTCTTTGAAGTTTAACATACAGCCATGTGCACTGTATCTTCCATGGATAAGTCTCTGCTTCCAGTGCTCATTGTGTAGGATAAAAAAGGCCCAAGAAGTGCAGAGAGAAGAAACAGTGAGCAGAAGAGGAGAGTCTCGCGATGCTGGGATGGTCTCCCTGCACCCCCAGCCTGGGGGCAGCCCAGCTCCCTTGGCCAGGCAGGTTCTACAGGGACCCCCCGTATACCAACATGGAGCATGGCTGGCTTCTCATTACAGGAAATACTTATTTCCCCTGCAAATGAATAAACGAGCCACCTTCTTATACACTCCATCTTTCAGGAAGTGGACTGGCTCACTTGGCCTGGCCTGGCTACTTCTGCCACTGCTGTGGAGCTTAACCTGAGGATGGCCATCTGTCTTCTCACAGCTGTGCAATCTTAATTATCCACAAACATTTGGAAGGGAGGGGAGGGGAGGGAGGAGAGAGGCAGGGGAGGAAAGGAGAGGGGAGGGGAGGGAGGGAGAGGAGGGGAGGGGAGAACGAGAGAGAGAGAGAGAGAGAGAGAGAGAGAGAGAGAGAGAGAGAGAGAGAGAGAGAGAGAGGGAGATTGAGAAGCTCAATTTCGGACATATGTCTGAGCAATTCAATCAGCTAACCTTGAAGTCTGCCTTGCCTAGGGGCTTCTTAATATGTGAAAGTTACTTTTCCTATTGATTAAGCCAATTTTACCAGATAAAACTAAAACACTCAAAAGAGTATGAAAGAAATGTTAACAAAATATTACTAGGATATTACTTTTACACCATTAAATACACTGTTATTTAAAATACGATCTTTAGAAAGCTCTCCCATTCCTACCAAAAAATAAATTCCTTCGCTTAGGATTCAAGTCCTCAAAATTTGCTTAGGATTCAAGTCCTCAAAATTTGGTTCTTCTCCATTTTTCCAACTGGAATTCACAACACACCGTACTCCCTTCCCGCTCCAACACCAGGCTTGCTAGAGCCCCAAACATGTTTTGCTTGCTCCTTAACTCAGAATCTTCATAACTCCAAACCACAAATATTCCCTGAGCACCAAGAGTCTGGAAACACGCTAGGTGCCTACAATATATCTGAGAATAAAAAAGCCCTTGTTCTCATGAAGCTTTATTGTAAAGGTGGCAGACGGTCCATAGCATGATAAACATTTAAGTTACACAGCAAGTTGGAAGTGGTTAGTGCTTCAAGGGGGACACAGAGCAGGTAACAAAGGACCAGAAGGCAGTGGAGGCAAGGGCAGTATTAAGGGGTGGCCAGGCAGGTCTCCTCCAGGTGGTGAGCGCTGAAAGCCGCTCCAGGGAAGGGCATTCCAGGCTGAGGCAGCGGCCTGAGGAAAGCCCAGAGACAGGAGCGTGTGTGCTGTTCCTCGCCAAAGCTGACCCCTCCTCCTCTCCAAATACTGAAGTCTTTGAAGACTCAGCCCAGTTTGTATTCCGTCCATGAGGCCCTTTCAGAAATAACAGGCCCACTATTATCTCTTCCCTGAGAATTTATATACAGATCTTTCTTGTTAGGAAAGCACAGTACTACAGAAAAAAAGAACACAGGCTTGGAGACTGAACAGATCTGTTTTCAAACCTCAACTTCACTTACAAACAATACATGGGTTTCCTGACCTTTCCAAACTTGAAGTATTTATAAGACGAGGCCACTTCAGATATTGTCAGGGTTCCCTGAGAAAATGTACAGAGAGTTCCTGAACAGAGTGAGCTCTCAATAAATTACACGGTTTTGTTCCCATTCAACTCGGCATTAACTATACTCTGCCTTCTGTTGATAACTGGATACATGTAAAAGACTTAGCTTTTTAACTGCACAGCAGTTCTTGGAAACAAGAAAGCACATCTAATATGTCTTTTACATTACTGAAGAAGAAAAAGGCATTCCAAAAAGTGATTCTAGAATGATTAAAACAGATGATGCTACTTCATACAAAGCATTTTCTTCAGACAACAACAGAGTGGTAGACACCAGATATTAACTTTTCCAAGTGGTTTAAAGTGTCTTAGCCTAACGCTTAAATATAGTTCCCAGATCACTTTGTTTTGTTTTCTTTCATTCTTTCTAACATTAAAAGCCAAGCATTTATGGAAAAACACAAGTCACGTACCAAGAACTGATGTAGCAGGTTAATTGGTTTGTGTCAATTAACTGTCTTTGCAGTTACTAATGAGGGAACATGAAATAAACTATAAATCACTAAATAATTGTAAGGTACAAAGAGCTTTGTATTTGTGATATTCTCAGGAAAAAAAGAGATAGAGTATATGCATATATAATATACATACACATATATACACATACATGTATATTCACAAGCTATATCAGAAAATAGGCAAAGCTAATTTTTCCTGAATTATAATGATTTTTTAATAACTTGTCGGATCACATTTTCTAGCATATAACACACTATGTGGTCTCTTCTTTGTACTTAATTCTGTATAAACAGAATGAGACCATTCCTTGTGAGAGTTAGTCCATGAAGCTTTCCAATTCTATAAATGAAAGTGATGGCTTAAAAATGTATGGTGTGAACTGCAGTGTTCTATATATAAAAAAATGATATTTACAAATTATCTTCCTTTTATTTTACTTTTCATACATAAGAATTATGGATACATATGGTAGATAAGGACTGTATATGTAAGATGAAATAGTTTCTGTCCTGCAGCTAACAGAAACTGGGTTTCACTTATCAAAGCTGTAGAAGCACAGCTCAAGAAAGGTATCATGATACAAACAATACGTTTTTCTTCTTTTCTATATATTACAATACAGAACTTAGTTATCTCTCAGTAACCTACAACTGTGTTGATTCTGTGACTTTGAACTTTGCATGTTGTGATCATTTTCTGGATAGATAGGATGCTCCTGAGCAAATGTAAATAATTTTAAGTTTCACCATCAGAAACCTAAGCAAAATCTAT